CAAGCTGAAGTAGGAAAGCTTGACTGCGGACAGCATATTGTGGTACCTCGGTGTCACACAGTGGATGATCATCAGTAGGAGCGTGAAAAGACATTATGGAGAAGGAGACGGCCACATGGTTATCCCTGGCAGTCATAAGGACATGGATATGTCTCATCTAGGCACAACTGATTCAAATAGAACCCAGAAGCAACATATGGGTAACCACTGCAAATGAAACAGGACAGGAATCGTTTTGTCTATCTATGGCCACCCCTGGAGATCCCTTTAGAACTTGTTTAATAGGAGTACTGACTTTCGCACCTGAATGGTTTAAAGGTTTTGTGAACAATAAGACAGTGATAACATGGAATGACACCCAAGCTAATAATAATGCACAGGTCCGTCACCCTGGCATTAACTATACTGCGTGGTGGCAAGGACAAATCATAATGGCCCTGAATAAAACAATCATAGAACCCCAGGAATTAAATCTATTAGGATCCCTAGTGCCAAAATTTGGTGCTGTAATGTTCAAAGGAAACAAGGAAATAGCTGATAAACTTGTGAATGGATTAACTCAATTACATTTAGTACAAACTGTTTCTCCTAATGTGGCACTTTAGAAAGGGACTCAACTCACAGCCCACCTGAATGCCGATACAGTGATGTGTGGGGAAACAACACTGTTGGTCTAGCATTGCCTAAAGGTATGCTTTTGATATGTGGAGACAGTAGCATGGCCAGGAATACCCAGCAATCCTGCAGGAGGTCCTTGTTATTTAGGAAAACTTACCATGTTTAAATTAACCATGAAACAACTGCTAAATCATACCTTTGGAACATTACAAAAAGAGTGAAAAGATCAGTATATCAATTAGGGCCTAAGTGCGAGGATGATGTTCAGTTTTGGGATGTGCCAACAAACATAACAGCAATGGTAGCCCCCATAGGTACTGCTAAAGCGTTGCAGTTGGTGAAAAAGTTAGCAAGCTGGACAGTAAAACAACTAAATATCACCTCAAAAATAATTTCAGAATTGACAACTGATGTAGACGGTATCCAACATGCAGTGTTACAGAATTGTACAGCAATAGATTTCTTGTTGTTAGCACAAGGCCACGGATGTGAAGATGTAGAGGGAATGTGTTGTGTGAATTTGTCCGACCACTCAGAATCTATCTATGCACATCTTAAACAGTTAAAAGACAATATGAAAAATTTGACATTTGATCAATGGCTTAAGAACTGGGGAATTACTGGTTGGCTTAATGATTTAGTAAAAAGGGCTGTTATGATAGGCATAGTTATACTGCTTTTTGTAATCTTTGTACCATGTATTCTGCAATGCTTACAAGGAATAGTTGCAAGAATGATAAAAAACATATGGGTCATAAATAAAGAAAAAGGGGGAGATGAAGGAGAATTAGGGACTTTTTGGGTTAGGACAGGAGTGGACCAGCTGATGGGGATTTGAGGAAAGTTTCAAGGACTGAGTGTTTTTGATGATGCAACAAGGACTGGACATCTGGAGGTTGAGGAAAACAGCAACTGCGGATGGGAGGCTGAGTTAAACCAGCCAAGAGGCATATAAATAGAGTGTTATGGCTAGATAGAGAAGAAGAAGAATTTAGAAAAAAAAGATATATTAGCTAACCAATAAAGATGTAGTTTAGTCGTGTGAACAACTTGTGCTTTGTGTATGTAACCAATAACAAGTTAAATAGTCACATATATGGTAATTATTAAACTGTATAAAAGAAAGCATAATTTTCAATAAAGTCGGAGCTTCTAAAACATCATATTGGTGTGTGTGAAGTTTCCCTTGAGGCTCGCACAAGACAACAGAGAAAATAATGTAACAATGGCTATTCTACCTACCTGTTTTGTTGTGTTATCTATATTTGTACCTGTCTTGGGCTATCCTATAGGGACACGCCCAACTGGGGATGAATGGGAGGAGTATTTCCCTTTCCTTAATTTTGACATCAAAGGCCTGTTAAAGGAGATCGCCATCGTTACAAACGGTTCCAATTTTTACTAAAATTGTTCAGCAACAATTACTGATGAAGGTAATGGAAGTGTTATTTAAAATTGGAAGAATGGTGTTGTATTGCTTTCCTTGTTGTAGAAAAGGCCAGACCTCGAGAGGATTTGCTGGAACTTTGGGAAGGGTCTTGGAAAGGCCAGTTTCTGGATGGTAAGGAGCATGGGTAAATTTTGGCAAGTTGGTAGGGCGTGTGACACCTCCCATTGCTTGGGATTTTACACCAGAACAAGTGCCCAATCCAGATGAAATGGCATATTGTTTAGCAGAAGGGTGTCTTTCATATGATGACTCAAATATGCAGTTCCTTGCTTTATACTGGGGTTTAGCAACGGCTTATAGAGCTGCCATAGACCACTCTCGAAAGCCTAAGGTTGAGGCAGAAAGTCAAACTATGTCGCCCGAAATAAATGATGCCCCTATTGAGTCCACAGACGTCGGAATCAAGACTCAACTTGAAGCCAGTGCCGTCTCAGTATACTAAGTCGACTGAGTGTGGAACTCAGACTCAACCTGAAGTCAGTGTTGTCTCTATTAATTCAACTGAGCGAGGGACTCAGACTCAACTTGAAGTCAACACGGCTTCTGCTAAATCTGTTGAAACTGGAGTCCAACCTGTAGATCTCATGGACACTGGAACTCAAACTACAACTTCTAATGTTAAGGCTACGATGGAGACGGAGACCCAATGCGAGAATCACTATTGCCCCCCTAACTAAGAAGAAGATGTGGATAAGAGAGGATGCAGGGCCCACAAGTCCAGTTCCACGAATGAGGCGTGTAACTGAAGAAGAGGGAGTAAAGGGACTAAGAATTATCCCTTGCAGGGAATTTATCCAGTCCAAGTATTGACTGAAGGAAGAGGAGGAAGAAGTAGCCATGAGAGAAGGACGCCCCAAAGAATTAGGAGCACGTCCAAAAGAGAAGGGGACGTGTCCAAAGGAAGAAGGGGCAGCAGCACAGATTGTTGATAAAACACAAAAACCTCCAAAGAGAATGTTGACACCCGACTATACCCTTCTTGACTGTTCAACGGAGGAGATGAAAGACTATCTGAGATCCTCATCCCAGAGTCCGGAGGACTATTCATTACCTCCACCCGTGACGAGCCCATCCTGGTGTTGTGCTCGGTCTGCATCTCCACAATCTAGAAAACCATCCCCGCGGTGTACTCAGTCCCTGCCTCCACCTCCACAACATAGAAGCCCATTCCCACGGCATGCTCAGTCTCCACCTCCATGTGAGAGAAGCAGAGAGAGAGAGTGGAAACAGTTCCACGTAGATATGTCAGAAGGAAGTGGAAATGGTTCCACGCAGGAGAGACCCTTATTCTGGAGTGGAAGTTGTATGAACCAAGTGAAGTATTGTGAACAATGACCCCAGCAGAGCTCCGGGATCTACGAAGGGATTACAGCCGCTGGCCTGGTGAACGAATTCTCACCTGGCTAGTACGATGCTGGGATAATGGAGCCAGAAGCCACTTGGTAGAGGGTCAAGAAGCATAGCAACTAGGATCCCTCGCTCAAGACTGTGATATTGAACAAGACATTGCAGGAGAGACATATAATCTCAGTCTCTGGTTCTAGATCCTCCATGTTGTGAGGGAAAAACACCCATTTAAAGAGTATTTAATGAGTTCTCTGAAAAAGGAATGACTGCAGAAGGCAGCGTCCAATACCTACAAGAATTAACCATGCTGGAACTCATTTACTGTAACCCTGACTATTATGATTGCTTAGAACCAGAGAAGATTTCCTGTACAGAGCCGATGGGAAGGCAAGTAATTAGAGGTGCCCCTGCATCTTATGTCAACTGCTGTAGTAGTTTTAAGACTAGGCCTTCCTTGGTGACCAGGTTGTAACCAAGGAACCAAGGCCATGTTCCCAGTATTCCATACGATTTTTACGTAAGCAAGAGTATAAATAAGAGAGAGAGGAAACTCTCGCTCTCTTTTTCTCCCGGGGGACCGAAGGTGAAGGTAGCTTTGCTGTTGCTCTGCCCGGGCGAGGGAGTGAGGCCTAGCGCATCTGGTTGGCCTTAAGAGGCAGACAGAGTTGGTGGTTGTTTGGTGCAGTTCACTGTGTCTCTTGAGGGAAGTATTTGCTTTGTATCCCTTTTTACCTTTTCCCTTTCCCTTCCTCCTTTCCCCTTGGGGGGTTCCCTGTAGTATAATTTTCTGTATATACATATATTCTTTATATATATATAAATCTTCCACTTGAAATTTAGTTCGGTTTGGGTTCTTTTGATTTTCTTTTTCATGATCTTTTCGGTCAGCTGCACGAGAGTGAGAGGGAGGGGGAAGGCTTTGTCCCTGAGGTCCAGGCACTTGGCTGGGAGCCAAGTCCAACCTGGGACATTTTTTGGAGGTTCCACCGAGATTACCAGGAGGTTGTTTTGGTAACAATTTCTGGGCAGGTGGCCAAGTTCTGCCAAACATTGACTTTGTTTGGGAACAGTACCGGGATCGCAGCCCAGAAGGATTTGTTTATATAAATATACCTCTTGTTGAAGAACAGTGAGGACACCTATATAAATAATGACCACTTTCTTAATTTTTAATGTACTTTTAGCAGCTTTCGCACCTGTTTTAGGTTACTACATGTGGGACAATCCAAATCCAACGGTGTTCAATTGGCGAGACATTTGGGAAAGGTATTCTTCCTATCTTTACATTAAACGCTGGATCCTAGAAATTCCCAAACTGACTGTTGCCTCCAATGATTATCTAAATTGTGTGGCAACAATTTGGTTTATGATGAATGTGATGAACATGCTATTTAAAATTGGAAGGATTGTGTTACGCTGGTTCCCTTGTTATAGGAAAGGCCGTACCTCAAAGGGGTTAGCTGGAGCTTTGGAAAGGGGCTTGAAAAGGGCAGTTCCTGGTTGGCAAGGAGCATGGGAAGAGTTTGGTAAATGGATAGGGCGTGTGGCACCTCCCATTACTTGGGACTTCACGCCAGCACAGGCCTTTGATCCTAATGAGATAACCCATCGTTTAATGGAAGGTTGTCTTACATATAAGGATCCAAATACCCAAATCTCTGCTCTATGCTGGGGCCTGGCTAGTGCTTATCGAGCCGCTGTAGATCATGTTCAGAATGCTAAGGCGGAGACAGGGACACAAACTATGCCACTCGGAATGGAGTCCACCAAGACCAGAGTCCAGATGCCACTTGAAGCCAGCACAGCTTGGACCAAACCTGCTGACACTGGAGTTCCAATTATGGACTTTATGAACATGGGAACTCCAGCCACCTCTATGACCAAGACTGGGGCCCACACCACAGATCCTGAAATCACTATTGCCCCCATAACAAAAAAGAAGATGTGGATAAGGGATGATGCAGGGTCCACAAGCCTAGCCCCACGACTGAGGCGTGTAACTGAAGAAGAAATTGCAGGAGAGACATATAATCTCAGTCTCTGGTTCTAGATCCTCCATGTTGTGAGGGAAAAACACCCATTTAAAGAGTATTTAATGAGTTCTCTGAAAAAGGAATGACTGCAGAAGGCAGCGTCCAATACCTACAAGAATTAACCATGCTGGAACTCATTTACTGTAACCCTGACTATTATGATTGCTTAGAACCAGAGAAGATTTCCTGTACAGAGCCGATGGGAAGGCAAGTAATTAGAGGTGCCCCTGCATCTTATGTCAACTGCTGTAGTAGTTTTAAGACTAGGCCTTCCTTGGTGACCAGGTTGTAACCAAGGAACCAAGGCCATGTTCCCAGTATTCCATACGATTTTTACGTAAGCGAGAGTATAAATAAGAGAGAGAGGAAACTCTCGCTCTCTTTCTTCCGGTGGACCAAAGGCAAAGGTAGCTTTGCTGTCGCTCTGTCCGGGCGAGGGAGTGAGGCCTAGCACATCTGGTTGGCCTTGAGAGGCAGAGAGTGCCGGCAGTTGTGTGGTGTGGCTCGCTATCTCTGGAGGGAAGTATTTGTGTTATATCCCTTTTTATTCCTTTTTCCTTTTCCCTTTCCCTTCCCTTTTCCCCTTTGGGGGGTTCCCTGTATATAATTTTCTTTGTATATATATATATATATATATATATAAATCTCCCCCTTAAAATTCAGTTCGGTTTGGGTTCTTTTGATTTTCTTTTCTTTTTCGTGATTTTTTCGATCAATTGCACGAGAGTGAGAGGGAGGGGGAAGGCTTTGTCCCTGAGGTCCAGGCACTTGGCTGGGAGCCAAGTCCAACCTGGGACATTTTTGGAGGTTCCACCGAGATAACCAGGAGGTTGTTTTGGTAACAATTTCTGGGCAGGTGGCCAAATTCTGCCAAACATTGACTTTGTTTGGGAACGGTACCAGGATCGCAGCCAAGAGGGATTTGTTTATATAAATATACCTCTTGTTTAAGAACATTGAGGACAACTATATAAATAATGGCCACTTTCTTAATTTTTAATGTACTTTTAGCAGCTTTCGCACCTGTTTTAGGCTACTACATGTGGGACAATCCAAATCCAACAGTGTTCAATTGGCGAGACATCTGGGAAAGGTATTCTTCCTATCTTGACATTAAACGCTGGATCCTAGAAATTCCCAAACTGACTGTTGCCTCCAATGATTATCTAAATTGTGTGGCAACAATTTGGTTTATGATGAATGTGATGAACATGCTATTTAAAATTGGAAGGATTGTGTTACGCTGGTTCCCTTGTTGTAGGAAAGGCCGTACCTCAAAGGGGTTAGCTGGAGCTTTGGAAAGGGACTTGGAAAGGGCAGTTCCTGGTTGGCAAGGAGCATGGGAAGAGTTTGGTAAATGGATCGGACGCTTGGCACCTCCCATTACTTGGGACTTCACGGCAGCACAGGCCTTTGATCCTAATGAGATAACCCATTGTTTAATGGAAGGTTGTCTTACATATAAGGATCCAAATACCCAAATCTTTGCCCTATGCTGGGGCCTGGCTAGTGCTTATCGAGCCGCTGTAGATTATGTTCAGAAGGCTAAGGCAGAGACAGGGACACAAACTATGCCAGTCAGAATGGAGTCCACCAAAACCAGAGTCCAGATGCCACTTGAAGCCAGCACAGCTTGGACCAAACCTGCTGACACTGGAGTTCCAATTATGGACTTTATGAACATGGGAACTCCAGCCACCTCTACAACCAAGACTGGGGCCCACACCACAGATCCTGAAATCACTATTGCCCCCATAACAAAAAAGAAGATGTGGATAAGGGATGATGCAGGGTCCACAAGCCTAGCCCCACGACTGAGGCGTGTAACTGAAGAAGAAGAAGAACTAGCTGTGAGAGAAGGAACACGTCCCAAGGAATTAGGGGCGCGTCCAAAAGAGAGGGGGATGCGTCCGAAGGAAGAAGGGGCAGCAGCTCAGATGCCTGATGGAACACAAAAGCCAAGGAAAGTGTTGACACCTGAATACACTCTTCTTGACTGTTCCACAGAAGAGATGGAGGACTATCTGAAATCCTCATCCCAGGGTCCAGAGGACTACTCGTTACCTCCACCCGCGAGAAGCCCATCCAGGCGCCGTGCTCGGTCCCCATCTCCACAAGCCAGAAAACCATCCCTGCAGCAGACACAGCCCCCGCCTCAACCTCCACAACACAGAAGCCCATCCCCGAGGCATGTTCCATTTCCACCTCCACGTGAGAGAGGCAGAGTGGAAACAGTTCCACACAGATACGTCAAAAGAGAAGTGGAAATGGATAGGAGGGATGTCGATCCAGAAGCGGGAGTCGTGAGAACATCGGAAGTATTACGATCATTGACCCCAGCAGAGCTCCGGGATTTGAGAAAAGATTATAGTCGCCGGCCTGGTGAGCGGATTCTAACCTGGCTGGTAAGATGCTGGGATAATGGAGCTAGAAGCCACATGCTGGAAGGTCACGAAGCACAGCAGTTGGGATCCCTGGCTCGAGACCGTGAGATTGAACAAGGAATTGCAAGAGAGCCATATAGTCATAGTCTCTGGCTTAGGATCCTTAATGCTGTGAGAGAGAGATATCCATTTAAAGAGTACTTAACAAATTCTCCAGGAAAATGGACAACTGCGGAAGAAGGTATTCAATATCTACGGGAACTGGCCATGCTTGAACTCATCTTTAGTAACCGGATATTATGATATCTTAGACCCTGCGAGTCTCCCATGTACCAATCCAGTGTGGAGAAAAGTAATTAAAGGTGCCCCTGCACAATACATCAACTGCCTAATTTCAGCATTCCATCCAAAGTTGGATGAACCAGATGTAGAAACAATGTGTCAATGGATACAGAGCATAGCGGAAAATTTCGAAGATCTGTCCGATGTCCGACGTCAACCCATCCGTTCTAAGGGAAGAATGGAAGGAGATTATGAATATTCCAATTATGAAGATGACTACGAAGACAGAGATGACAGCGTTTCCCGAGACTACAGAGACACACCAGTAAAGCGATCTAGACCACGAGCTCGACCCCAATCTTGATCTTGGTCCAGATCTCGGTCAACAACTCCTCCCCCTACACACAGAAGGAAGGGCCCTAAACGCGAATCACGTAATCAGCTGTGGTCCTACCTGTGCGAACAGGGAGAGAACATGAAGAAATGGGATAGACAACCCACTTCCAAACTTCAGGCCAGAGTGAAAGAGCTGAAGCAGAAGGAAGCCAATAAGAAACTTGTCTTTGTAGTTGATGCGGATTTTGTGGAAAAGCAATTGCAATCTCCACAACACAAGAAGGCTGAAGTCCACTTCCTTGACAACAAGAAGGCCGCTGGTGGAGCAAAGAGGATATCTGACACTGAATGCTCTGACAATGACCAATAGAGGGACCCTGCCTTCTGCCAGGAGAAGGAAAGGGACCAGAAGGATAATCGGGTTTACTGGGCTGTGTGGGTTCGATGGCCTGGCACATCGGATCCACAGAGATACCGGGCTTTGATAGATACCGGTGCCCAGTGTACACTAATGCCGTCTGAACACAAGACTATGGAGACTGTGTCTATTTCTGGAGTGACAGGAGGGTCGCAAGAGTTGTCAGTGGTAGAGGCCGAAGTAAGCTTGACTGGAGACCAATGGGAAAAGCATCCCATTGTGACAGGGCCAGAAGCCCCCTGTATCCTTGGTATTGATTACCTGAGAAGAGGATACTTCAAGGACCCGAAGGGGTACCGATGGGCTTTCGGTGTAGCCACGGTGACTGAGGAGAAATCCAAGCAATTGTCTGCCCTGCCTGGTCTCTCAGAAGATCCTTCTGTTGTAGGATTCCTGCAAGTCGATGATCAACAAGTGCCAATAGCCACTTCAACAGTGCATAGGCGACAATACCGGACCAATCGAGATGCTGTGATCCCTATTCATAAGATGATCAGGAAGTTGGAGAGTCAAGGGGTGGTCAGTAAGACTCACTCACCCTTCAACAGCCCCATTTGGCCTGTACGCAAATCCGATGGCGAATGGAGATTGACAGTGGACTATCGTGGTTTAAATGAAGTCACACCGCCATTGAGTGCTGCTGTGCCAGACATGTTGGAGCTCCAATATGAGCTGGAGTCCAAGACAGCGAAGTGGTATGCTACCATTGACATAGCAAATGCATTTTTCTCCATTCCCTTGGCAGAAGAGTGCAGGCCGCAGTTTGCTTTCACGTGGAGGGGCGTGCAATACACCTGGAATCGACTGCCCCAGGGGTGGAAACACAGTCCCACCATCTGTCATGGGTTGATTCAGGCTGTACTGGAGAAGGGTGAGGCCCCAGAACACATACAATACATTGACGACATCATTGTATGGGGGAACACAGCAAAGGAAGTTTTCGACAAAGGAGAGAAGATTATCCAGATTCTCCTCAAAGCCGGTTTTGCCATTAAGAAGAGCAAGGTCAAGGGGCCTGCCAGAGAGATCCAGTTCTTAGGGGTGAAATGGCAAGATGGAAGGCGCCAGATTCCAACCGATGTCATCAATAAAATTGTAGCAATGGCTCCACCGACAAACAAAAAGGAGACCCAAGCTTTTCTGGGAGCCATAGGCTTCTGGAGGATGCACATCCCAGAGTACAGCCAAATTGTGAGCCCTCTTTATTTTGTGACCCGTAAAAAGAATGATTTCCAATGGGGTCCTGAACAACAGCAGGCTTTCAGGCAGATCAAGCAAGAGATTGCACATGCCGTGGCTCTTGGACCAGTTAGGACGGGACCAGATGTAAAGAATGTACTTTACACTGCATCTGGAGATAACGGTCCCTCCTGGAGCCTCTGGCAAAAGGTGCCTGGCGAAACACGAGGGCGACCACTTGGCTTCTGGAGTCGAAGCTACAGAGGATCTGAAGCCAACTACACCCCTATGGAGAAGGAAATACTGGCGGCATATGAAGGCATACAAGCAGCTTCTGAAGTGATTGGCACTGAAGCACAGCTCTTCCTGGCACCCCGACTACCGGTGCTGAGTTGGATGTTCAAAGGGAAAGTGCCTCCTACGCATCATGCTACCGATGCCACATGGAGCAAGTGGATTGCTTTGATTACGCAACGTGTCCGAATTGGAAACTCGAATCGCCCCGGAATTTTGGAAATCATAACTAATTGGCCCGAAGGTGGAAACTTCCGTCTGGCAGATGAAGAGGAAGAAGAGCCAGTGAGTCGAGCTGAAGAAGCTCCGCCATATAATCAACTGCCAGATGAAGAGACGCGTTATGCTCTTTTCACTGATGGTTCTTGCCGTATTATAGGAGGGAACCGGAAGTGGAAAGCAGCTGTTTGGAGTCCCACCCGACAAGTCGTGGAGGCCACTGAAGGTAAAGGCGAATCGAGTCAGTTTGCAGAACTCAAAGCCGTCCAATTGGCCCTAGACATCGCAGAGAGAGAAGGATGGCCAAGGCTCTACCTCTACACCGACTCATGGATGATAGCCAATGCCCTATGGGGATGGCTAGAGCGATGGAAAAACATGAGTTGGAAGCGTAGAGGAAGACCTATATGGGCTGCTGATTTATGGCAGGACATTGCTTCTAGAGTAAAGAAACTAGATGTGAAAGTCCGCCATGTAGATGCCCATGTACCCAAGAGTCGAGCCAACGAAGAACATCGTAACAACAGACAAGCGGATAGAGCTGCGCAAATTGAAGTGTCACAAATAGACCTGGACTGGCAACATAAGGGAGAGTTGTTCCTAGCCAGATGGGCCCATGATGCTTCAGGTCATCAGGGCCGAGATGCCACCTACCGATGGGCACGAGACCGAGGGGTGGATTTAACCATGGACACTATTTCCCAGGTTATCCACGACTGTGAAACCTGTGCTGCTATCAAGCAAGCAAGAAGATTGAAGCCCCTATAGTATGGTGGACGCTGGGACAAGTATAGATACGGAGAAGCATGGCAGGTCGATTATATCACGTTGCCACAGACCCGCCAGGGTAAGCGTTATGTGCTTACCATGGTGGAAGCAACGACTGGATGGTTGGAGACATATTCAGTGCCCCATGCAACGGCCCGAAATACCATTCTGGGTCTTGAAAAGCAGGTCTTATGGAGACATGGCACTCCAGAGCGAATTGAGTCAGACAATGGGACTCATTTCAAGAATAATCTAGTGGCCACGTGGGCACGGGAGCATGGTATTGAATGGGTCTATCACATTCCATATCATGCACCTGCTGCTGGAAAAATTGAAAGGTATAATGGACTGTTAAAAACAACTTTAAAAGCACTATGTGAGGGAAAATTTAAGAACTGGGATAAGCACCTAGCCAAGGCCACCTGGTTGGTAAATACTAGAGGCTCTATCAATCGAGCTGGCCCTGCCCAAGCAGAATCCCTCCACACTGTAGATGGAGACAAAGTTCCAGTGATTCACCTGAGAGGTATGTTGGGTAAAGCTGTTTGGGTTACCCCTACCTCGGGCGAGGACAAACCCATTCGTGGAGTTGTTTTTGCTCAAGGGCCAGGGTACACCTGGTGGGTGATGAGGAAGGATGGAAAGATACAGTGTGTGCCTCAAGGAAATTTATCCTTGGGGAAAAACTAACTTTGTGCTTCAAGTTGTTTTACAGGAGACCAGTCGCCAAATGAGAGAGACCTGACCAAAGCTGATACCGGTATCTGACGATGAGACAGTGAACCAGTCCTAAACCTGAACTGTGATTGTAACCAAAGTGCCAAGGATCTGAACTGAGCTACTGATGCTGAATGCAGATCTTCTACCACAAGACAAGCTTCTCCAAGGACTATATATATAAATACGTATATATATACGTGGGATATAAGCAAATACATGACATATAAGTGTTACAAAAAAATAGTATGGAATAAGGGGTGGAGAATGTAGTAGTTTTAAGATTTAGGCCTTCCTTGGTGACAAGGTTGCAACCAAGGAAGTAAGGCCATGTTCCCAGTATTCCATACGATTTTACGTAAGCAGAGTATAAATAAGAGAGAGGCTGTCGCTCTCTTTCTTCCAGTGGACCGAAGGCAGAATTGGCTTTGCTGTCGCTCTGTCGGGCGAGGTAGTGAGGCCTAGCACCATCTGGTTGGCCTTGAGAGGCAGAAAGTACCGGCAGTTGTGTGGTGTGGCTCGCTATCTCTGGAGAGTATTTATGTATATCCTTTTTGCTCCTTTTCTTTTCCCTTTCCTTCCCTTTTCCCCTTTGGGGAGATTCCTGTATATAATTTACCTTTATATATATATGTTTCTTATCACCTGCAAATCTTCACTTAAATTCAGTTCGATTTGGGTTCTTTTGATTTTCTTTTTCGTGATCTTTTCGATCAATTGCACGAGAGTGAGAGGGAGGGGGAAGGCTTTGTCCCTGAGGTCCAGGCACTTGGCTGGGAGCCAAGTCCAACCTGGGACAACTGCTTAAGAGCAGTAGACAATCCCAAGACAGATGAACCAAACGTGGACACCATGTGTTCATGGATAAGGACCATAGCGGAAAATTTGGAAGAGTCTTCAATGCCCAACACCGACCTACCCATCCTAGGGAAGCAATGGAGAGGCCTCATGAATATTCCAGATACGAAGATGACTATAGAGACAGAGATAATAGAGACTATAGAGACAGACCAATAAAACGGTCTCAATCACAATTTCGACCTCGATCTTGGTTCCAGCCTCATTCATGATCTCCTTCCTTAGCACACAGAAGGAGAGGAAACCCCAGACGTAGATCACATAATCAACTGTGGTCTTATCTGCGCAGCAAGGGAGAAAACATGAAGAAGTGGGATGGTGAACCCACTTCCAAACTCGAGGTCAGAATAAGAGAGTTAAAACAAAAGGAAATCAATAAGAAAGTTGTCTACGTGGTTGATGCAGATGTCCTGAGAACTGCAATCTGATGCTGATCTTCTACAACAAGACAATTGCCTATGGTTTTTTTTCTTTGCCCCAAGGGAAGAAGGAAGGGGGAAGGGGGTTGTTACTGTGAGTTTGGGCATTTGGCAGGGAGCCAGGTCCGAACCATAACACTCTACCAGCACTTAAAGCAGTGGCGGATGCATCCACTCCATCTCTGGGAAGCAATCTCAAGACATATTCTAAACCAGGCCTCCCAAGAAGTATTATTGAAAAGTCTTGTGGTTGAAAAGGCTAATGAAGAGTGTCAAAAAAAAAAAAGAAATCTAAAAAGCCTACCTTGCTCGAAATGATTGACGCCTGCCAAAATGTAGGATCACAAAAATCCAAGATTAAATTGCTTGCTGCTGCACTTAAATCTTCTCAAAAATGTTTTAATTGTGGGGAGGATGGACATTATCAAAGAAACTATCCGAAAGCCAATCCAAAGCCTAATTTACCACCTTATAATTGTACTCGCTATTGCAAGGGGAGACACTAGACAGCAGACTGTAGATTCAAAACTGACATTAATATCCAACCCCTCCCCCAAAAATCACCAAATCTAACTAAAAAACCTCTGAGATTTTTCAGGACACCACCTCCACAGAGAAGATCTATGGATCAACAGGGAAACTGGATGCCAGGCGCTGGGAGGAGCGCGAAGACACCAAATGCCTCCACTCAGTGCCAGTGCCATCAGGTGCTGTCTCAAGGCCAGTCCATTCCGAACCTCTTCAATATCAACGGAGGGGAAACCGAACTGTGAGTGTGTCGTGGATCATGCTGACACCAGTTCCACC